CCACTCACTCCTTTTCTTCGGTTGTAGCTACCAAATCATGCTGGACTGTTGGCGAAGTGACCCCAACGACCGCCCGCGGTTCTCCGAGCTGGTGACAAAGCTGGGGGATCTGCTCCAAGCAAGCGTACAACAGGTAGCAAACGAACAGCCACGTGTCACGGCCTCGGCGAGGGCTACAGCGCGCGCATTCTGAGGAATAACGCTTTGATTTTTTTATGTGCATTAGGAAGGCAAAGACTACATACCCCTGAACACTATATTTACAACTGAAAATGTGTTTCCATCTGCATCCGTTCCTTCATGCAATGAAAACACATCTGTTACAAGCTCAAACTGTGGGAGCACTGAAAATGTCAGGTAAGAAGCAAGATAAGGAGAGGGTTGGCTTGTTCGTTCCGTGTTGCAGCTTGTTGCATTGCCTGTTTTGGGGTTGGGTGTGACAAAACAGCCAGAAACACTGCATACAGCCTGAATTTTCCAACATCTCTAGTATTTGGTTTGAAACGCCTTAAATAAAAATAATAATAATAAAAAAGAAGGATCAAAAAACATTTTTCTCACTCAATTTCGAAGTGCTACCTGATCTTTTACACACACCCACACACGTGCTGGCCCCCAGTGAGCTGCGCTGAGGGGAGAGGGGCCAGGGGAGCCAGGAGAGGCTGCTCGATGAGGTGGAGTCTTCATAACAAGTCCCATTTGTATAAAACACTTTGGTGATCCATTGAGCAAATACTTCAAGAAACACAGAAATAACCAGGTACTGCACTTCGTGCTCTCACCAGGAACCTTTCTCCCTTTTCTGTTGAACAGATACATAAACACTTTCAAACTAAAACCACCCCAGCGCATAAAGACATTTGAAGAGCTTCCCATCAAGGAAACATTTGCATTTGATGTAAGTGATTCTTAGGACAAATAATATATTATTCATGTCTTTTCACACGCATGACAGCTGTATACAAAGGAAATCAAGACAGCGTTTTGCTGCTTTGCCAGCTCTGCTGCAATGAGGTGCAGAATTAGCCATGCTTGCAGCACGGTGTTATCCCACTGACCTTCAAATGGGTGCCAGTGGGTTCGTGGCAGGCTGTGCCTTGGGCTGCAAACCCTCTTCCCTTGCTAAGAAATGGCCAGTGCCAACAGCCTGTTGAGGGATGGCTGCCAGCATCCCCAGCTGGGTCCTGGGGTTGTAGAAGAGCCACTCAAAATCGTTGGATTTGTCCTTCTGAACATGAATGGAAAAACGAGGACTGTGGGAGGTGCCACGAGTCAATCACTGAGGGAAGCTTTTAGCAATCCAGCTCACAGTTACAAGCGTTAAATGGTGGGAAATGGGAAAAGCGTGGTGGTTTGCTGCCGTCTGCCTGGCCGGCAGACACCCTGTTTGCAGACACTTTGACACTCTGCATTGGCAGTAATGCCATGTGCTTGCTGCATGCTGAAATGGGGCAGTTTGGAAAAGTAACATTTAATTCCCGGGCATTGTGGCACTTAAAGCAGTCCATAATCTGAGTTTTACAGACTTCTGATCAGAAATGACCAAAATGTCATTGTGAATTTGACCAGACAGGAATTGACTTCGTTACAAAAGTAAATTCCTACAATTAACACCTGATAGGGTTGAGTCTTTTTTCCTTTCTTGAAGGATTACCAAGCAGACAGCGGGATGGTGTTGGCCTCGGAGGAACTGAAACGCTTCACGTGGACAGACAGCAAACAGAGACGGACGCTCTTTGGGTCTGTATTCATGTCCCTTTCTTCTCCTTCACATGTTAGAGGGCACAGGAGGATCCAAGGTCCTTGCACTAAATCAGGCCTAACAGAAGGTGCCCCCGTCTCCGCGCGTTTTTGCTGACGCGCGTTCTGCTCAGCCGAGTGGTTCGATCAGCCCTGACACCCACCCCTCCGCGCGCCTTACACATAACAAATAACCCCCAAGGCCCCAGTGCACATCATCACTGATGTGATTTATTATCACTCCTCAGCAACCTGCCTGCTCGTGCGCTTGCTGCCGGGCCGGGCCGCTGAGGGTCAGCGAGCGCCAGCGCGAGGCAGCGGCGCGTTAGCTGTAGGAAACAAGCCCGGGGCGAGGGGACGGAGGAACGTGTGGCTAAGAGGGACTTTCAGTTCCTTCAGTGCGTCCCCAAGGGCACCCCAGCTGGGACGAGGCTCCCAGGGCTTGTTTTTTGCCCTTCTTTTCCATGACTCAGCTAAGCGTAGCCCATTTAAGACTCACGGGCTCAGGATGCTAAAGTGGCAACTTTACAATAGATGGATGTGAGGGCCTCATTTCTCTTCCTGCTTTTAAGCACTTTAATATATTAGCCACCTTCCTCCGCCTAATTCCTGACAGCTGCCCAAGCAGGGAACTGGGGTTGCTCCGAGGAATGTGCTGCACCGACATGAACTCTCTGCAACTGGGAAATGTTTATTTGCTCAGTGCCTCAGCTCCCCGCCGCTATGGAGCGGGCAGCGTGCGCGGCTGCTCGCAGGCTACATCAGTCATCCCACACTGGCATTAGGTCAAGGCCATCCTGCCCGGGCTGAATTTGAGAGCGGGCTAGAGCTGCGCGGGCTGGGAGGTGGCCGCAACGTGAAGTCATGGCACTTTTAAGAAAAATTCCAGTAACTAAGGAAAAGTTGATTAAGTGCACGGATATACGGGTGTAAGAGCATGCGTGCAGGCTCACGCACATGGCCAAAACGCACTGGTGGTGCAGGGTGAAGATGCTGCAGGCAGGAGCCTGCAGTGACACAAGTCACTGCAAACAAGTGCTGGTAAAACCTTGTCCTGCCTTGGCCGCTCATGTCTCACAAGAAAAGAGGCTTGTAAGCATCCTCGACGCACTCTGATTATATTGAGGGAGGTTCTCACATTCTATTTTGAGAAGTCAGATACTACAAAGCTTGAAACGTGGGTGGGTTCCTCAAGGCTCTGGAGGACACGGTGCTTCCCAAAAGTGGTTTAACGTGTCCTTCCTGGGTGGAGGGGTGACATTTCTGAAGGCTGCAGTCAGCGGCACAGTAACCTCCCCCAGTGCAATTGCAAAACGCCTCTTTCCTTGCGTGGCACAGAGCACACGGGTTCCCCCGCTGCTCCCTGCCACCGCTCTGAGGAGCAGTTTCGGCTGTATAAGGGAAAGGAATGCTTGAATGGGGACACGAGACTGGAACTGAACTGTGCCTGCTAGGATGTAAATCCTCGAGGAAACGGCATGGTTGGCTGAGCACATAGAAGGTCATCTGCCCTGGGAGACAAACCAGCAGCACTGCCGCGTCGTGCCGAAAAGCAGCGTCTGCCACTGGCGGCGTGCTCAAAACTGCGGCTTCCTAGCGAAGCACCCTCTGCTCGGGCTAAGCTGGAGCAGTGAATAAATACCCCCGACAGCAGCAATACTTGAAAACTACATTCATCCGCTTCCCAGATCGCGGGCAAAATAAAACTCTAAGGGGTGTTTGACACATACAGGCTGATCTAACGAGACGCACGGTCCCTTGCGTCTCAAACCTCCTTCCTCTGGGCTCCTGCCCCCTCTCTCGTGCTGCCATTTCTCCTTAGCTTGCCCTGAAACCAATCTGATGTTCATGCCAGGAGAAAGCCAGGGCACGTGCTCATATTCACTGAGCGTGAGCAGCTAGAGCAGTGTCGAGATGAAAACAAGTGATGCGGTGAAGGCTATAGGGAGAGAGAAGTCTCCCTCACGTAAGGGCTCAAGTAATAAGCTTCCAATAGGGAAGTCGTCAGGGGGAAAGACAACAGTCTTTGGAGCTCTGCCCCCTTGCAGACCAAGGGGATCCCAACTGCACCTCTTCTTCAGTAGAATAAGCCAAAATCTTTGGCTGGAGCGATCCCCTAATCAAAGCAAATTGCTAAACTCACAAAATTTCTGAGAACTCCACCGTTTCTGAGCTGGAACAAACATCTTGAGAGCCATAGCCAACCTCTAATCTCTCTGAACCCTTACATGTAGACTGTCTGCAAGCAATGAAGCAATTCTTCCAATGTTTTTTCCAATGAGTGATCCCAATTAAGCCAGTTATTTGACTTCAAATTGACCCAGTTTCTAATTTACATTCCCAGAGCACAAAACAGATAGTGCACACCTAGCAAAGCTTTCATTGACCATAAGCTCTAACACCAAATGAAATCTATTGGGACCAAACCTCAGAGGCTCTCTGAAAGCTCTCCTTGGGAGGCTACACCGACGTACACCAGCGTTCCTCCCGATCCAGCTTTATTTGTATAAAGGTTTATAAACCCAGGCTGGCTTAGAGGCTTTATTCCAGCTCCATAATGTAATATTGCTTCCGAGCTTTCAGCCAGTGCTGAAATTAAGTATTTGTTTCTTAAGGCATTGACCTTTTTAAGCATGCTAGGTCTAAATTTCAATGACAAAATAAGGTCTCTGAAAGAAAAAACAGATTCTCAGAATGCAAGAGAGAGATAAGGAAATGATCATGTTAAGGCTCATAACTCCACCTGGTCTAGCTGATGCTTTCTGAGTGCTTAAAGTTACCAGTGATGGCAATTAGGCAGAAGACAGGAAAGGAGGCATCCCATGCAGTTCCATTTCCGCCAGCCCACTGCTCTCTCCATTTAACAGGCAATTACAATGTAAATCATAGAAGCATGTCTTTTTAAATTCATTAAATCCATCTCTTTAAAACTCTACACAAGGGTAATACTCAAGGGTCTTGCTGGGAGCATGTTCTAATTTCTGATAGATGCAACAGGTTGGAGAGGAGACCACGCTCCTTACAAGGCACAGGGCTTGTGAGCTAACGACTCAAGCAGCTGTGAAATCTAAAAGTAATTTTTATTTCTCAGTTTCCTAAATGACAAAGGCCCTATGCCACTTTACCAGTTCAATTCTTCATTTAATATCCAAACTGTGCAAATTAAAATAATAAAACCCCAAACCTGGGCTCCCCAAAGCCTCAGTAGATGGTCTGACCTTCTCGGGAATTCCAGCCTGTGACTGCCAGTGTCCTTGACCTTATAAAAGGAGAGGGGCAGAGTGTCCTTCACCTTACAAAAACAGGAGGAGGGAATTTAAATGCAGGCACTGCAGACCCACATATGCTTAAATTAGGATTTCACATAAAATCCATGATGGGGAGTACCCTATCACACCCTTCGTCTACAGATAAAGAGATAAGGCACCTAAGGTCAATGGTGTGCATGGAAATTCCCTCTGCCTTAATTCTGCCCATTCTTGAAAGGGCCCCTCTGAGCACCATCCTCTCAGAATAAGGGTGAGCAAGTGCTGCGAGGTAAATTATGTCCTAAGGAGGACATGCTTAGCTATCTTGCAAAAGGCACCTTGTAAAAAGCTCCCAACAGAGTAACTAGTCCCTTGTGGGACAGGGATACTCTTGGTTCAAACCAGCAGCTCATAGCAGCTGCCAAGGGCAGCCTGGAAAGGCTATTCCTGGGTATCCCATGTCCTTCCGCACATAAGCTTATCTTTAAGCTCCACTCCCCCGCACCACCACAAAGGTGCTGCAGCTCCAAGACTCTCCTGAACCCGCACTAAGCATCGGAGCTTGGCGGAGCAAACATCGCCCGTAGGCACCGCGGCCGTACAAGGAGCGGCATCACGCGACTGCGCTGAACGAAGGCGCTGCGAGCGAGGGGCCCCTTTCATCCCTCTGCTCCGCTCCCCTTGTGCCATCGCAGCTGCATAAATGCTCTTCTCATCCCCCGAGAATAAACAAAGCAGCTTCTTGTGGTACGCCTGTGCTCAAGCCATTGCAGCACATTCAAAGCGTAGGGGCATCTGCTAACAGCGACGTTGCTGTTTTACAGCGTGAAAGGCGCCAGCAGGAGCAAGGAGTCGGTGCTCCGTGCGACCACGAAGCCAAGGAGCTTCTGCGGCTTCAGCTGCGACCAGCTCAGCGACTCCAAGCAAAGATGCTCTCACGGCAACATGGTGCTGGAGAAGATGAGAGTCTGTCACCCACCTCCTCCCGACTACAGCTCCGTGCTCCTGTATGCTCAGCCACCCGTCTAAGTAGGCCAGGATAGATGCATTTAATTGAATTTTTCTTCTTCTAAAACCCTGCCGGTTTAAACATTCTGACTTGAATAATTTTAGCTATCCTACAATTAAAAAACTGCCATTGGCTTAATCTCAAGTGATCTGCTTTTCCACCGACTGCAAGAAACATATACAAAAATATAGTAAGATACTAACGCTTAGGCCCCGGCTTTCCCAATGCCACTAAAATCGCCTGATACTTCTGAAAACTAGAACGGTCACCATTACAGACAAAACCAGTTCAGCGGTTCGCGCCTGGCACCAGGATGGTGACTCAGCCTCTGCTCAGGAGCACCCTGGAATTTGCCCCCCATCACCTGGGGCTACGGGGAGGCCACTTGCATAGTGCTGAAAAATAAAGGATTGTCGGAGAAGAGGTAGACAAGAAGGGGACTGCATTCTGCTGTTTTTAAGGAAAAAATATTTGAAAAACAAGGGAAGGCTAATGCTTTAGGGAATCTGAATTAGCTAGCTGGGGATGAGGCATGTGAAAGGTCTTACTCCTTCGGGTAATCAAAGAGAAGAGGGGCTAGGGGGTCCTGCACGTTTTGCAAAGACAGGGAAGAACGAAGATCAGAGCCAGGGCTGCAATAACAGGGACTAGAGATCCCTTCACCTTGGTCAAGCCTGCTGAAATCAAGTAAATGCTCTTGAAGTTTTGCACTTTTTGAACACGACAACATACACACACTGGAAACAAACAACAAGCTAGACATGTTAAGCCAAGCTTTGTCCACAAGACCTAGTGGACCTTCTAACATTGCACTGACTATATCTTATTTATGGGAACCTGTCTGAAAGGACAGGCTGGCTACTAAACTGCATATACTTTAAACAGAGAATTGATTATTAGAGAGTTTGAAAGGTGTAGTTAGAAATAAGACAAGCTCTTTGGAAAGTTAAGGCAGCTTTTCTATGAATGCAGTTGAATTTCCAGGTTAGTTAACAATATATATGTACAGTAAAAGTGTATCATTTACTTGCAACAGATTTTTGTACAGCATCTCAAAGGAAATGAATGTTCTTGATTTGAAAAGTGAAAAGATAGGATGCACTATCCCCCTTTACTTTTGAATGTAATATTAAAATGGCTTTTGGCCAATTAACAGTAGCACTGATGTTCTTCTGCAGCAACTACTGTCCAGTCTCAGTTTCCTGGGGCCCACTATAAACATATTTATTAAAATGCTACTTAGAATATGATTCTGACCACAGAAAATTCAATTTAGGGAGTGTGAGCTTGACCCACTAATAGACTTGAAAGCAAGTGTGTCCTTTCTTTCTTTCTTTTTTTTTTTTTAAAGAAAAAAAACCTACAAAGTTAAAAATATACTTGTGAGCATGAGAAATACCACTAACTAACCCTAGCTACAGAGAGTCCATTCTAGATCTTCCTTGTCAAGAGATTATTGATTTTAACTATAACCTACTGCACTGTCTCTTGCTGGTGAAGTATATTCTACGTTGGTCAAAACAAATGGAAATTCATAGCAGCATTTAACTCCAACTTAGCTGTAATAATTGAGTGATAATGCATCTCTAAAAGGAAGTGTTTGCTCAGTGTAAATATATAAATATGCTTTTTGTGCATAAATATTTAAGAAAACTGGATTACAAAAAGTTCTTTTATATGATCTCTAAATTTCTTTGGAGATGAATAACTCACTTTTATCTTGCATTTTCTATCTTTAGATAATGTACTTGGACTGCTAAAATCATATAATAAAGTCTGCTTTTG